GTGGAGAATACAGGAAAAGGAGGGGCCGAAAGGGCGGAGAAGAAAAATAAAAATTGAAAGAAATCGAGAGGAACAAATTGATTACTTTCCAGTCATACGACACCGACCGCATACAGAATAAAAATAAAGGTGACATAGTAAGATGATCTCATAATCCTTAAAAACTTGTGGGATATACAGATGGACACGTAGACAGACTACAAAAGGATCTCATGAGCCTCTTTTTATTTCTTCAAAGTAATGAAATTGGGCTAAAAAAGAAGAGAGGAAGTGAGACGAAGGCAACTGAAGAGGAGACAAGTATGGGAAGGAAGAAAAGAAATAACGAGATTAAGGACAAGCTCTAAATGAAAAGGAATACAAAGGAAACGGAGGTCAGAGAAGTGAACAATAATGAAGCACGAGATTTGTTCCTCATGCTCTGGATGCCTTTATACAATGGAGATGGACGCAACATCCGCTTAAGAGCTGGTATCCATCTATAAGACCACACGATGCCACATCCATGAGGACCACAATCTGAACATTCAGGGTCGCGAAGAACTCCATACTTTAGAACTTCGATTTTCCATCTTGTCCTGTGGTCGCTCACTAGCCTGACACGGGTTCAGCTGAAATACGGAATGTTCTGTACCACTGCAACAAAGTTTCTTCATAGACTCAGAGCTTGAGGCTTCGACCGCAAAACCTCACTGCCTCTTGTCGAGCCAGCTGAGTTATGCCAGTTGATCCAGGCATACACAACTTTTCGGGACGTCATATCCGAATACAGGAATTTCATTATGCTTCCTTCAGAGTTTCTGTTATTGTTGTGTCTGTGTAATGAGATACCTTCAGCAGGTAGCCTCACGGAAGTATAGTATTGCGTGTTCAACGAGGCTTCCGGTATTGTGATTTGGTTCCCTCTGTATGTTTAAAATTACACTAGTAATTTTCTATTCGTGACGTAACGACATATACCACTATCTTACGATGACGCAATCAAGAAGAGGTTCCAGACAGAGTATAATAAGAGATGTAGCAGTTTCCTTCTTTGGAAGCTGATAGTCAATGAGCTAGTCAAGAAATCTCTGCCTTTTATGGGATCCGGAAGTTCATTATGGTGTTCACAATAACTCGCCACCGAGCCATAGTCTAAACCACAGGAATAAATTATACGACCTCATGTCCTACTTCTTTAAAATCAATCTCAGTATGATCCTTCAGTGTACACCTAAATTTTCCAAGTGGTATCTTCCTTTTAGGATTCTTGACATAATTTTTGTACTCATTTAAATTCATTCTCATGCACGCTACATGCCCCAACAATTTCACCCACATTGTTTTGATCACTCTAATGACATATGCTGAGAAGCAAAATTATGGGTTCCCTTATTATGCAATTCTCCCAAACCTCCTGTTATTTCCTCTCTGTTAGGTACAAATGTCGCCCTCTTGAGTCGAGATAACTAGTCAACACAAAAGAATTAATGTCACATTGATACATTGATATGTATTTGCAAACAGAGACGGAACGCAGTAAGTCTGCAGAGGATCGAGCCTACGGCTGTTCCTTTAGGGCCTATAGGAATTATTTGATGGACTTTTTCCATTGTCTGGGGTACATTTGATACAAGGTTTCTGAAATTGGATCCGCTTACATCATCCCGCAAAACGGAACTAACAGAACCAAAGAACAGGAACGCCCACAATACCCAACTGGATAGAAACACGTAGTAGGTACGGAGTAGTAAACAAACGCTAATACAACAATACTGGTTTATTTATTTCGAATCTGTTGTGTTCACGGGCATACAATAAATACCATACAAGGACACACAATATGATTCTTGCAACAAAGACGCTCTAGTTCAGTTCTGCCGTCCTCGTAGCAGTTTCTTCTGCTTCTAAGGTGGGCTTATCATTTACGTGCAAGCTAGACTGCTTCCTTCTAAGAGGCCGCCATGTAGATACACGATTAGGAATTCAAATTACACAATATTCGCCTGAGGAGCGAATTTATTGAGACACAGTTACTCGTCCTTCCCCTTCCTCTACCGAAGCTGTTAGATTTTATGCATAGAAGATCTGCTGGCTCTGAATTCACTTATCTTTCCAGGCTGTTTCGGATAACGGACAGACGTTTAGACTAAGAGACTGACATGGTGCTCTACGTGTCTGTGCGGAAAGCAGAGCGACTCAGCATACAGTGGCGTGAAGTACCGGTACTCGCATTTTCGTATGAAACACGAAACAATAATATAATATTTGGGAGAAATAAGTTAACCGTCACCCGATGGAGCATGATAATGCAGGATTTGGACTGGTAACCGGATTTATTGCACATTTTAAAAACATAACCAGTGACTTCTGTTTAAGAATCACTATCACATACACGTAACTACAAGCTTTCTCGGTCACGGTTTTCACTGCGCTGCTTGGTAACCTCTCCAAACGATGGACGTTCCTCTGCTCGCAGGCTCACGTCCTTGTAGGCTGTCGGCCATACACCAAACCACCTATTATTCTAACTGCCGTCTCTGAACTCTCTCAAAATGACAGCTGGTAGTCGTTATAAAGCCTCGGCAAGGACCGCACAGAAAACACCTCATCCCATAGTTCTTCAGTTGTTGAATGCGTGTCTGCTGCGGCGATCACGTGGCCTAGCAACGCGCGTTTGCAAAGTCGTTCCCTAGCTAAGACTCTCCGCTGGCTTCACGATTCTGGGTCTCAGCACACGTGTCACAGTATTACTCGTGCAATGTTCTTGAAAAGTTCACGTGACAACTTGACAATTTTCATCTATAACTAAACTATCCACAAATAAGCCTTCCACTCAACCACTGTACCCATGATAGCCTTTGAGGGGAACTCTGAAATCACCGTTATACTGAATAAGCAAACTATGAGCTTCAAAAGTTCTTAAAAAACAGCTCTACAAAACAACAGGATATTTTCAGGTCCACCAACAATTATACTCCATCGCTCTTACGTCATAATCTAATGCGCGTGTACTTTAACCACGTCCCTAGACATAAAGATACCCACCTTATCACTTCAACAATATACAATTTCCTAAAATGCCCCCAAACGTCCCATTCCCCTTCGACAATCCCGCTACCTTCGTCGCCATTACACGGCTTCATTTTCATTTCTTATTCAATATGTTTATGTCTATTATTCGTTCTAAAATTTTAATGTGTACACGCCCTTTAATGGGATCGGTAACTAAAAGATATTCAAATTGATTCTGGCATTATAGTTCAGTTAAATTCCGTCGTCATTTTCATATGTTCATGTCTCACCTGATGATAGTAAATTTGGACCGAAACCGTGTCGTCGGTGCAAAGCTAAAAACATGTGTTTGTGTGACAGTGACCACTGCAGATTCGTGGAGTCGTTACCAGTGGTAACGGTAACGCGGTACTACTGCTGTTCCCTCAGTCATAGCCCTCCAACTGCCCCAACGTCTGCTTGTACTTGAAAAAACTCAATAGAATATTTTTCTGTTTGTACGTGTGCCTATTTTTATATTCGTGCTAAGTCTATTATTAGCCCATATCTGTTGAGTTAGATACGAAATTAAATAAAGGGCACGCTTCAAATCAACTGAACTTTACTAGGTCTAATACTGTTATAAGTGTTATTAGTGTTGGGTGCATTAGTAAGCTGACTCTGGTACCGGCCAATCACTGACAAGCTCGGCAAGTAAATAAAACAATAAACTCTTACTGATGTAATAATAATAATAATAATGTATTTATTTGCGTGCTAGCTCAACAGCCCAAGTCCCAATTACAAAGTGAGAACAAATGAAAGAAAAGCAATAGAGAGCACAATACACGAAAATTGGAATATCTGAATAATTATATTACCATTATTATTTAAATAATTTCATCATTCCGCTGTTATGGTAACCCGAAACTCCGTAATGACAATGATGAACCTCATGCTTACAAAACTTTTCTATAAATTGTGGTATGTCCGCCGAAACCCGGAGTAGTCTAGTCAGAGATGCCCGTTGCTACGGAGCTGGCGGTAAGTAGCATGTGACCGCGGCCAATGATGCGCGCGCAGCAGTGGATAGACTGTTGGAAGTGGTATCAAATTTTGTGTCCTTGCAGATGTTATTTTCTTTCTTTCTTATCCTTGGAAATGGAATGTTGGTCTTCGCCACCACAGTCATTCTTGGTTCCTGGCCCCGTGGGACCCTTAACTGCACGCTTCTCTTTCACGACTCTGACTACTGAGACCCCTGCCCACTGACCGGTCGGTCGGTTCATCGATCTCTCGATCGATCGGGAATCTGTTGCCGGGCAATCGTGTTTATCAAGCCCTTGGTTACCAACAGACGTCTTCTCCGGTTCCAGTATTCCACCCTTGAGGCACCATATCACATTTCTTCCTCCTTAAGACCGTTCGTCCCGAGGAGCTAACAGCAATACCGAAGTGTCTTCTGTTCCGAAGGGGTCTCTGAATCTTACGTCGCTTTTGCACTCGCGAGTGGAAACGCAACGCCGTACTGGGCTCGACGTTTCTTCTTATAGCTTTTATGGCGTCAGACCTTCGTTCTTCGGAGACTGATGAACGTTCCAGCTGGTCTATTGGCGTCATTCAGCTGGGGGCGTCGCTCGGTGTCTTCTCGCCTCAGGTGAGTCGCTGTTGTTTAATGTAACTTTCCCTTATCCTGTCGACGAAGGCATGGGCTGCTTCCTTACAAATGCAGTACCCGTGCGTTCTAACAAGGGCGCGGTGGGCCAACTGCTCGAAGGGTGGTGACGCTATAAAGTCGCTGCCTCAGGGACGTCGTGCAGGACGTCAGAAACTTGATCCTGTGGGACAGCGAGCAAATGTGAGACTTTTGGAGGGGTGACCACGAGTCTCGAATTCGCATCAGGCCACGGCCCAGAATGTCAACGAGTCGAACTTGCTTAATCGTACGTACGCCGATTCCTAACATCCGCACCGACCTCGTCCTTCTACTTGTGCAACTTGGGTTTTGAGATCTCATCGTGCGGTTTCTACGAGGTTGTTCGTTGCTTGTATGTCGCTCTGTGTTCCTTTACGCGATCAACATATCTCAGTGTGTTTAGGGAGTCTTCACACGAAGCCATGCCTGGACTAATCGTCCCTATCATACATGTCTTGCATTTCTCCCCGATGAAGGAATCTCGGAGCACTAGAGTGATTTTGCTTCCTCCAAATGGGATATGAGCATCTTTCCTTTCTAACGCCCTGATACACTCCTTTAGAACTATCAGTGACGTGTTAATCGCCGCACCTTCCATTTTTGTCTGCCTGTTCGGAGGATTCATATCTACTGCCCTCGCATTATCCGCTAGATCGATCAGTGAGAACGTGCCATGAATGCGATCGGTGCCAGTTGTCCGGAGCACAACCTGGAATACTGCATGGGACCGTGAAGAATTGCGATTCGCCGATGTATTTCCTGAAGCTCTTGCCGTGTTACCACGATCTATCAGTTCAATGACCTCATCAACTGAGTCGACTACTTTTTCAGTCAGCCCCACGATATTCACTTGATGATCACCATCTTCTAGGATGTGCACTTTGGCTTTATTCGCCAACAGATCGAAGATATCGTTGTCGTAGATCTCAAAGAAACTTGCAAATACCGCCAGGTTTAGTTTCTTATACTTACGTGACTTGAGGAATTTAAATACATCTTCGGCTACCATGGCGTAGATTCCTTTCTTGCAGTCTTGTGTCTTACCTCGGAAGTCACCGCCCATTGTATGGGTTTTGCCACTTCCTGTCTGCCCATAAGCAAAACATGTTGCCATTCCCCCCTCGAAGATTGTTTGGACCAGAGGTTTTGCTGTATATTTGTAGACCAACTCATTGCAGCAGGTCTCATCAAAAACGTAGTCAAATTTGAAGCGTTTGTTCTCTAAGAACTTTTCGAGATCCATTTTGACTTTGGGCTGATGTACAATAATCTCGTCTTTACTGGGCACCGAGATCACATCCACCTCTTGCCTGGCGAACTCGCTCTTGTTAAGCGGCCTCTTCCTAATGCAAACTGTAATCTGATGATCCTCCACGGGGTCTGACTCTTGCAGAGGGCGGAACACAATACGACTACGGTACTGGTTTATCATATTCAGAAACTCCCAGTTTGGGTTCCCTTGACGCATCATTATCTGAAGTTCCTTCTCTTTCAGTTTCGCTTGTAGCTGACGTTGCTGCTCGCGGTTTTTCTTCATTCGCTCAATCACCTTCAGCACATTCCTACGCTGTCCCTGTCCTGCTCCTCTCTGTTTTGATATCAGTTCAGGTTTGTGTTGCTGTTGCAACCTCTGCTTCCTGATAGCACCGCTCGTAACTGAGGGCGCAGTAGATATATGAGAGATGTTCTCCACATCTCGAGCCGTGGTAGCGCTCTGTTGTTCTAAATGGCTGTCCAGAGCAGCAGACCATTTGACGTGTCCCTCCCGATACCTCACTCTCTCCTCATACTGGGGCCGATTGGGGGTTCTATTGGTCCCCGTCAGCTTCTGAATGGCTCTTATGGCACTGTTAATATAGGCTTTCATCCTCTTTATAAAAGCCCCTTTTATATTTCGGATTAGGTTTATAAAATTTTTGATCCTCTTTGCAGTGCTTATCGGAGGTTCCAATTCCGGCATGATTAACCGTCACGTGGGTTCAACTCAAATGATACACAGTCAAATGCAGTCCAACGATTCGATCCAATCCATATACTTCAGTACCACTTCTGAAACTAGTTCTCACGTGTTAGTGACGAGAAGCAGGGTATCGACTTATCAGATTTACTGAACACTCGTTACTGGTAAATATAACGAATTATAACCCTCTCGTTCCAGCACACGATGTAAAGACAGTTGCTAGGCTTCGATCCAAGTCAATAGTGTTATTTTTGTTACTTCACGTGGATCGAATGATAAGTGAGAATCAGTGTTCACTCTACTCCTGCTTTATTAAGACTGAGCTATTTGATACAGAAGTACGCCTTATATATACATACAGGCTTATAACCATAGTAACACTTAACAATATAAATATACTGTCGTTAGACACGTAACTGTGGTTACACACAACAGTAAACATCACTTAGGTAACAAGACATAACCTAGTTCTTAAATTGTTTACTATGATGTTGCCAACTCTAACATTATATTTCAGTATCTGAGAGTTGCCAACATAACAAATAGAAACACCGTTTCCACAGTTACTGTATTATTCTCAGAGTGTCTGTTGCAGCGAAAACGTGTATACCAAGACGTTGCCTAGGAACGGACGCCTTTTCTGGCTCCAACATTCCGAATTTCAAGCATATCACGATATTTTTATTTAAATAATAGCTCATTTACAATCCACTCTTGATAACAAGGTGTAATATGTAAATTTGTTCTAAGTAGGTGTCTTCAGTAGAGAAGTCATCCACTGATGATACTGTGACGTGTTACGCTACGCAGGACACCCCCCCCCCAAGCGGCGACGTAACACCATCGCAGCGCTGTCGTTACTAATAGGAAGTCAACCAGTCAGTTGTAGTATAGCATTTGTAGTCTAGTATTTGTGATACTGCCGAGGGAAGTACTTGTGAGATTGTAAGAGCGAGTGTGGAATAAAATTCGCTATATCCACTAAGGCGTGAAGCTATCTGTCGCGTTATACACTCAACACGTGACAATATTATGACAGGCCCTGTAGGGGAATGGTGGTGGTTTTAATCATGATATTCTAAGACAACGCTAAGTCTTCTCAGTCAGCTTTCACTATTTGTTGCTAGGTTATCGCTCTCAACAATGGTTACACCTGTACAATGTTTTCTCTAGGCGTATCTTGGTAACGAATCACCAGCTTATGTATTCACGTCTTCACTCTTCGATCTCCAGATTGAAAGCTAAACATTTTGTTTGGCCTATTTTAACATATGTAATACATATACGCCACTTTCTGTCTACAGAAGACGATTATTGTGTTATTGAACACGACTACCTCCTATATATAAGAATATTTGAGGCGGACAGCTGAGTTCCAATACCTGTATATGTACCGATGAAGCTAGTACATGGCAGAAGCAATACAAAATCATGAGAATTAACATGTTCGAGGTGTAGGGCAAGACGAAGAAAGATATAGAAAATATAAGACGCTTAAAATTGGCGGTGGTCAAGCTTACGAGAGTTCAAGTGACTACGCTGCTGTTGTAGTATAAAATATGTTATGATAGGCACGATCTGTCATGCAAAGCTTGTACGGACAGAGGACTTACATACAGTGCAAAGGGAAGAATATTCAATAACCTGCTGTAAGCGCTATACGGAAGGCCAAGCATACTCGTAGGGCCCAGATCTTTATACGCTAAAACACTTAAAATATGCGCTAAAAAGCGGGAAAATATGCACCAAAAACAAAACAATATGCACTTAAGAAGCAGGTCACTTCATTCAGACTCACCTATTTACATGTATCATTCACTGCAGAAAATAATATCACAATAGGCAACAGGAAGTCTTTCAGTGACAAACCACGTCTATTGTCTGTTAAAATGAGTTTATAGGCTGAGAATGATCTTTCTACATCAACTGACGCGATTGGACAGTATTTATACACCGGCGCCGAAGGTTCGGAACATTCATCTGGCAACGATACCCTAATTCCACTCAAGTACTGACTAACTGACTGAAACTTTTTTAGTCCTGGGTTCGAATTCAACACCTTTTCTAACTTGAATTTAATTTTCTTTCCAATTTCGCCTGGAGCGGAATTCAGTGAACAAGTTGCTTTCTGAACGAGTTGAAGTGAGTCATGAAGGAGTGCACCACAAGATTCTAAGCTATCAATGGCTTTTGAAACTGTAGAAAAATGTGCATGGATAAAATTCACATCCTGATAAACAGTATCACTTCCAAACATCACTTTTGCTTCACGGACACATGCATACTCATCTTCAAGTTTTGTAACCACTTCCTTTACTTGATTGAAATTCTCCTGATAAAATGAAACTGCGAATAACCATGTCCCCCACCTTGTTAGGACAGGTTCAGGTGGCAGAGGAACCTGAGGTAGGCAATCTTTGTAGAACTGGTCACGAGCTGCTGCTTTCAGAAACAATTTTCCCCACCAACAATTAAATCGTTAACAGCTGAAAACTGTGTGCGTATTTTCCTGCAATACGGTGTAATCAGTGCGCTAAACAGGTTACGTGTATAAGATTTTGATAAAATACTTGTAAGACCTTTGCTGCTTTCAACATATAGGAAGCTCCATCTGTAACACAAGCACCTTACAACAATTATTCTCAATTTTAGACGACCATAGTAATCACAGAGAATCATTTACAATTCGTGCTCTTGTGCTATGGTTGGTTTTCTCTAATACTTTGCAAGCAAGAAGATCAGATTTGCCGGGTTCGTCTGTATGTAGCTTACCAACTACGAAATTTGCCATGTATCGGCCACATAAATCGGTTGTCTCATCCACCGATATCCAGACACAGTTCCCTCCGGTGTCAGAACGTACTGACACCAAAATAGATTCATACAGCAAAGGTAGATAATTTTTTCTAAGAGTTGATTCATCTGGGATTTTCTGTCCCGACTCCAAATAAATGAATAAATGGATGGACACACGGTATCGCAGTTAGTTAAGGCACTATGTTACAAGAGGGAAGGTTGCGGTTTCGATTCCCGATGAGGTCATTGGATTTTTCAATTTACCTAATCGTTCCAGCCCTGGGGTTGGCTGGACCTCTAACAGAAAATGAGTACCAGGAATCTTCCTGGATGGTAAAGGGTGGTCGGTGCGTAAGGCTGACGTAACCGCCATCTGTGAGCCGATTGTCTAGACGTCTCACAACCCTATGGGTCTCCATGGCCTGTTGCAGGGATAGCCTTACCTTTTTATAAATAAATAAATAATATATATACTCACAAACAGTACCGTCCATTCTGGTTTTCCTACTAAAACCTGTATTTCTAATGTCTCTACTGCCCCCCCCCATACTGATAGCTGCTAGTTCCCATCCTGTAGAAATTGAGAATTGTGATTCAAAGTGACAGTGACCCCAGCCCCTACAGACTGGGAAGTTGGACCACCCTTGAAGTGAATGGGACGCTATTCTTTTGACAGAGCTGAAGCAATATAACGTAAAGAAGTGGGGTATTTGTTGGGCGTTATAAATTGCGAAACATTAGAAAGATTGAATACCCTTCCAGCGGCCCTGCTATCATTCTGGCTCTATATTACATCCAAGTGAGCACAACATCAAAAGAAAAGGAACAAGAAAATTCTTGTCCAAGTTTATCTCTCGGGAGATGCATCACGAACCTAAAGTCAAGTGAATACCGAAAACTGTATCCTTGCTCTGCATGTGTAGTCGCGTGAAATACTTTGATTTACGTCTCTTCTCTAAGGAGTTACACAAAGAGCAAGGCGTAGAATGCTTCCGATTCATAAAACTTTCCTTTTCGGAATACGAAAAAGTTTCGTGTACCGCGCGAGAAGATAATTTATGAGGTTAGACGTTTCCATACTGCAGGTAGCATATTTGAGAAATAATCTAGTTTACAGCTACTTTCGATACAGCCATCCTGTAAGGATGCTCCTATATGCAAAGACATACATGTACTATATATTGTGAGGGATTTGCTGAAAGAGTTTCTAGGTAAGGGCTCGGTAAACACGGTCGATGTGCAACAGTGGAAGAAGTGTTTCAGTGAACGAATGTTATTGCGCGTTGCTAGGCAACAGCGCACTAATAAAGACGCTGGCTAGAAATCACATGACTTGTTCTCCGTGTGGTCTATTTTTTTTTATTGCTAATGGAGTGGGACTAAGTCTCTTGTACTGCGGCCACTTCTGGCCTATTGTACCAGCCCCAGATGATAGGTGAGGGTGATTGTGGAGCAATTGGTGGAATGAAGACTGGCGGGGGAAACCGAAGTACTCGGAGAAAACCTGCCCAAGCGCCTCTTTCTCCACCACAAATCCCACTTGACCAGACCCGGGATCGAAAGCCAGGGACTAACCGCTTGAACTATGGCGCGGCCTCTGTGTGGTCTAACTTATGCAACAATAGAACTGTGTTTTCTATACGTAGTCCGTGCGGAGGCTATATAACGAAGTCTACAATATAACACCAGCAGTTCAGTTCAGTTCTCGGTAGGAGACAGCCACAGGGAGTTCGTAATTGAAGAAAAGTTAGAAGTTGACCCGTGAAGACAGCGTGTGAATTGAAGACTTTGTGTGTTATAACTATAGTAATCTTGAAAACGTAATAATTAATTGTTGTTACGACCTGTAAATATCTCATAATTCCAATTACGAATCCAAACCCGCGTCTTAGTCACCCATACACGTGATAATATATTGTGACATGACGGCTGAAAAACGGAATAGTTCACTGCTAGAAAACGGCTCGGTAAATAGGTTCCCGCGGGGATGAACGCGAACACAATAGAAGGACGTCAATTTCTAGTCTATGGATAAAAAAAAGGCCTATAACAAGAGGGGTATTTTTGGAAAAGGGTGTTTTCTGTTGGATCGGACCCGAGGCTATATGAAG